GGCAGCCTTTCAGGGCAGCAAACCTGGGGTCTGGGGCTGCTGCAGGACACCTCTCACTCCCACCTCAGCTGGGTGACCCTGGCTGGCACCCAGGACCCGCTGCCCCACAGCCCCAGCCCGGGGGCATCCCCCGGTATCACATCACCAGCCAGCCAGTCCTGGCAGCCAGGGGACCCCAGCCTGGGGGGCAGCAGGGACCCTCCGCTGAGCCCCGCCATGTGCTGCAGGACAGCTGCCCAGCATGCAAATAGCTATGGGGACCTTGGGGTGCCCGTGGGGACACTGGTGACCTTGGGGTGCCCGTGGGCCATGGGGGCAGTGGGAGCCTGGGGGTGCCAGGGGGCTGCGTGCCTCGTTGGGGGCTCATGGGGCACCCTCGGGTGCTGCGATGCCTTGAGGTGGCTCCTGCTCCTGGGTGCTGCCCCTCACCCCCCCCAAGGCCCCTCTACCTCCCTGCCCTCCCCATCTATTGCATCCCGCACCCCCTTGCACCTCCCGGCCGGGTCCCCCCCAGTGACGTCCCTGCAGCGGGGACGCTGCACCCACCGGTTGCAGCTCCCGCACCCCTGGGTTTGGGTGGTTTTAAACCCGTCGCATGGTCCCCCCGCCCAGCTGAGCCCTGTGCCACTCAGTGCACCTCCCACCCTGCCGTTCTGTTGTGTTTTTTTTCGGCTGGGGACCGGCGGGCTCCGGCTCCTGGCGACCCAGCGCCTGCCGGCCTTTGGCTTGGGAAGAGAATATAAATCTAAAATATGAACAAAAATGGCTTTCCAGGGAAATTCTTATTTTTGCCATCTCTTCTTCAACCTGATCTCATCAGAAAAGGAAAAAAAAAATCCGCTGCAGCGCTGCCAGCTGCCCCGGAGGGGCCGAGGGAGAGCGGGGCGCGCGGGGTGACTGTGCCCCCTGAGCCTTGCGGATGATGGGGGGGCGGGAAATGGGTTGAAACCAGGTCAGATAGGTCCAAACCGGGTCAGATAGGTCCCAACCAGGTCCCAACCAGCTCAGCCAGGTCCCAGCCAGGTCCCCGCCACAGCGTGATGGGGGTGGCTGCATCCCACTCCGGGGGCTGCCCTGGGGTACAACCCCCCCACCCCACCCCGGGAGCCCTGGGCAAAGAGGTGGGGTGGCTGCGGGACAGAGAGGGCACGGGGGCCGTGGGATGCCACACGTCCCACGGCCTCACTGTGTCTGCGTGGTCCCGACAGTCCCACAGGTCCCCAGTGGCTGGGGGCAAGCAGGGTGGCCAAGGCTGGGCACTGGCACGGGGGCATTTTGGGCACGATGCGGCCGGGCAGGGGCCGGGGGTGCCGGCTATGGCTGGCCAGCGCTGCCGGGAGACGAGGCGAGGGGGCAGGG